TCGCTTCTCGGGAAAATATTTGTTTTAAGAACATCAAATTTCCGCGGGGCAACTATCAACCGATAGTTCCTCGACAGAAACACTCTATTGTTTAACTAGTAGTGTCTCTCCGCGGATGAACACTATCGCGTCACGTGATCAATTTAAGCCAATAAGAATCGGAGGAAATTTAGTGGTGAACTATAAAGGTCGTTAGATGGCCACTAAGTAGCCAATCAGATTGCGAGATTAGCTGATTGACTGCAGGTAGGTCATGTTAATTTCAAAATCATCAAAACGTAGTAAATCCCGCTAGTTGGGCGGCTCTTCAATAGTTTTTTCTAATGAATTCAAGCGAAAACTGCTCAAAATTTAAAAAGTTTTCTTTCTGTTGCTACCGCCGCCGCCGTTGCTGCCGTCACCTTCGTCGTCGCCGTTTGGATGGATGCTTAATCGCACAACTAGATGCATTAAGTCTCAGTAGTGCAAACAGTCCCCATAACTTTCGATGGCCTTCAAAAATTACTCTAAAAGAATAATAAACTTACTCTGCTTGTCTAAACGGGTAAGGGCTGCTCTCAGCTGGTATTTCCTTTAATTTTCCTCCAAGACTTGTTATGTAAATGTTAGAGTCCGTTATGACGCCTGGTTCAGGTGCTTGGTTGATCCCATCAAAGATGATATCGATACCCTCATCGGTAAGTTCTTGAAAAAATATCGGTAAAAATGGAAATATCGTCAATATTGAGATTGTGGTCTATGGCATCAAAGACAACAGCTACACTTCCAGAATTTGTAGTACATCAATAGAATATTCACAAGGTCAATGAGGGCGCAGGTCGTAATTTTGAGTTAAGCCTTGTCTGTTGCATGTAATCCGTCTAAATCTCTCTTACTTTCAATCATTCTCGTTCATTTGTTTGTTTGTTTTTTTAATTTAAGATTTCTCCAACGAACTCAAGTAATTCTGTGTGTCACAAAAATTACTTAACAGTACACGGTATAAAGACATGACTGACCATCGCAGTTATACACACAAATTGAGCAGTTGTGAAATTAAAGCCTGAAAAAAATTCAGGCCTGTACCCGTAGATGATGAAGAATACAAGAATCCCGTTCAGGCCTGAATTTTTTTCAGGCTTTAATTTCACACCTACTTAAGTTGTGTGTATAACTGCAATGATCAATCATGTCTTCATATCTTTCTCGGCAGTACAAATATGTGATCTTTCGTATATTCACTTGTGGTACACTGTATATTCTTCCTTGTTGACTGCCTTTGTGGGTTTGTCTGACTGACTGTCCGTCTGTCTGTCTGACCAACCGACTCACTGACTTGCTGGCTGACTAACTGAATGACTGACCATCTGTCTGTCGGTCCGTCTGACTGTTTGCATGTCTGTCTGTCAGTCTGTCAGTCTGTCTGTCTGTCTGACTGACAATCTGACTGTCTGCATGCCTGTCTGTCTATCTAACTGCCTAACTGACTGGCTGACTGACTGACCAATGGACTGACTGACTGACTGACTGATGGACTGACTGACTGACTGACTGACTCAGACTGACTCAGACTGAGATAGACTGACTCAGACTGACTGGAAGACATCCAGAATTGCAATTTCATTGGCAACACCAGCAGAAATGAACTTGAAAAAGTCACATACCTGTTACAAAATTTCCCATTGGTGCATAATAAACACACCCTCTGGTGACCAACCAGTCACCACTCTTCTGGAACTCATCAAATGGTATCGGTTTGACTTTGTTCACTAATGGTTTTGTCAGACTTGTTAGCTCCATCAGAAGAACACCTCCCTCCTTAGGTGGTCCAATGAATAGAAAACGGCAGAGTGCTTGTGGTCTAAAGAATAATTAAGAGATGATCACATGAAAATCTAACTCATTCCAACTAAGTGATGTGAAAAGGAAGGCACTAGTGGTATAATTTACTGACATCATAGGTTACACCTGTCCAGTAAATTGAAAAAAAGTTATGTTGACCAGCCCCTCTAACCCATCCAAATATTAACCTTGCCATTCAGGGTTTTAATTGTAATCAGCTGAGAACTGGTATAACATGTGCCAGTTTCTTATTTAATTTAAAGCTATTTTGACTCTGCTCAAAATAGCTTTAAAAATTAGAAATCAATAACACTTACCCACTACACTTGTAGTGCACCATCATGTAAACAGCAAGTCTATTGTCTGCCTTTTCACGGATAAAGTCTCGTGTAATTTTAAATGCATCTGGTGCTTTAGATACAGGATAATACAAGTCTCCTCCAATTATATTGTCTGGAATGTCATAAAGCTGAAATTTCATGGACGTAACCACCCTGCATGACAAATAGATTGAATGATAAAACACATATTATAGTAAAAACTATTAAATCAGGAATACTAGAAATATTTCTGGAGTGTTCATTGTATGCTACCAAGAGATATGTTAAAAAAGCAAGAACGCACAAAAACCTGAAATAATTATTATAGAGACACTATGTATGCATGCAGAGGACCTAATGGTGAAAGCAGGCTGCCTGGCCATAGCAATTTGTACACATTGCAGACCTGTGGTACTACTCTTTACAGCGGCTAGCATGTAATCTGCAGAATACCCCCCTCTGTAACATCAAGAACATTGATAATAAGCAATAATGGTAGTTTTATAGAATCCAAAAATCCCACCATCTTGGATCCATGACTTGCCGGATTTCTTGATTTTTCAAAAACAGCTAATCAGAAAACCACCACAAATTACTTGAAACCAATAAAAATCAATAAACCTGTGCTAAAAAAGTCTTTGAAAAATGTCAAAGCCAATTGCATGAAAGTTAACAAAACAAGAAAATTCCAAATTTGGAAAACATGTCTGTCAAAAATTATATGGTTGCCATGTCAAACATCAATTTCTGAAACAATAACGACATGTCGTACCAAATTGTCTCCGCATAAATTTGGAAGCTTTAACTTAAATATTAAAAAGGTTATAAACAGTAGAAGTCAGCACCTGTAGACACTTTTCACCTCCCTACCACCCCCCTCCCCAATCCCCCAACAGACTGAATAGGGCTAAAGTTGCAGGCATTCATGGTTGATTACTACTGCTCCATTTCTTGAAACAACTGAGCCTAAGTTACTTACCCAAAATTGGACCCATATCCTTTCATTCCCCAAAATAATTCTTGATTTTCATCCTCACTGGCTTTTATAACATCTCCCGAAGCGGTAACTAGCTCTGTGACAAAAAAAAACAAAAAAAAAAACATGATTAAAAAAATGGTAACCAAGGTAAAAAAAAATTACCACTAAATTATTGACTTCAAAAAGAGGTTTTCTCTATTAACATGGTAATCAGTATCACCTGGAGTGAGTTATGAAGGTTGGCTTGAGTTAACATGTTGTTGTCTAGAGTCAGTAGAAAATGTCTGCCACTTAAGAAAGGGAAATCTCTACACACTAACAGTCCATAACATCGTATGTTTCAACTTCCGTGGTATTTGCAGTCACTGAGGAGATGAAAGTGACTAAAGTATACTCATAAACTATACATTGAGTAAACATACTGACTTTATCTACTCATGGGTAGTTTAAGGATTTAATTTTTATTGTTTGTAAAATATTATTAAATATTACAGGTAAAGTTTATTCACACACAGCTGTTTATAACTTACCAAACTCTAATACATTATCAGCAGTACAGCCATAAGACCTGCTTAAGAAACCTGTTCCTCCAAGTAGTGTGAACCCTGCCACACCCAGCTCAGAGTAACTTCCAAGGGGTGTAACTAGAGAATGACGTGCTGTTTCCTTGTCAACATCACTCATTTTTGCACCTGCACCTACGACAGCAACCTAAAATGTTTACAATATATTACGTAGTTAAGTGCTGTAATACACTGTAATACTGATTTGATAAGTGTTACTAGAAGGTGTGAATAAAATTGTCACTACATAGTTAATACCCAAATTAGAAGCTTGAAGTAGACAGGTATCATGGTTGCCTAATTCTAAAGTGAAACTTTTCAAGTACTATAATTATAATTATAATAATTATTTGGGTCTAGATGTAATATAATGAAAATGAAATCTATGAGAGCATTACTGACTGGTTTTGGACCAAGTAGTTGGGAAAAGGACAAAGATAAATCTTTGGTTAAAAGATTAATTTTCATTTCAAAAAGAACATTCACACCATAATAATTTGGTTATACCTTGCCTTCCACATCCACTGTGACGGTGTTCAAATCAGAAAGGTCTATCACCACAGCATCCTCTGCCAGTGCAAAGTCACTGTTCTTTGCAGCACAAATGCACATTTCAAGCTAGTAAAATATTATAATGGGAAGAAATAAAATCAATCATGTTTTCACATTATAGTTAAAGGTAGGTAAAGTCTGCATCTGAGTCAAGTGGCCCATCAGGGCAGCCCTTATCTTTGTTTCTATCACACAGAAGTGACTAGGAGTATTTTAATGAATGTTTAAATGAATTTTAGTAAAAAAATAACAGGTTTAGTCATCTGAGTTTTTTTCACCACACCATCTTGGATTCTTGATTTCTTTCTTCAAAACTAAAAAAGTCTTCAGGCTCACAGAGAAGATCCATTTTTCAGTCTTATTAATTACACTGTAGTGTTAAATCTCAAATAACATGAGAAACACAGACTGAAACAGTACTTCTAAAGGGTCAGTCTAGAACTGATGCTTTCAAATTTTCATATTCTTATTTGGACAATTACGGTATACTGTGAGGCACAAAATTTTTGCAGGTTCTAATTTTTGTCATTTTTATGTTTTTTTTTTTTTCCTACACTGAATTGTATAAAAAGTCCATGCAAAAAAAGTTCCCACAAAAATTTTCTCTACAAAATTTTTTTTCACAGCTGGCAAAATAATACATTTATTTAAAATGCCTCTTCATTCAGAAACAAAACGTTCAGAAAATAGGACGATGAAGTTGATTGCCCTTGGTGCACTGCCAGGTGTAATAATACATCAAGTGGTACCAATAGTCATTGCTTATCCATTGCAGAAGCAATCAGTTACACTAGGGCAAGACATAAATTACTGTAAGAGAGTGACATTGATTAACGTGTTTTAGGTCTCTGCATGTTTATTCACATGTAATTTGCATGTAGCTTAATAACAAAATGAAAATGTCTTCCTGAAAATCGCAAAAAATCATACTCAGCAAGAAGAACTAGTCCTTTACAATCGCAAAAATTAGTTCCCGCAGAATACAAAAAATCATTGATCTGCAAAATTAAACTCCCATATAAAAAATTTTGTCCTACATGGTAGTCTTTCAGTAACCATTAGAACCATGGTATAGTAGTAAGGTTGATGAATTTTTTGACATGAATAAGGATATTTTTTATAGATTCTTTTATTTTGATAATTTTCTGAATATTTTATACCAGTAGGTACAATGGTATAGGTTTTATAAGATTTAGAAGTACTGGTAGTTTTGCATAATTTGGACATTCCTCCAGGCAAGTCACCATAATCTGTATGAAATTATGTAAAAAAATAAAAATCTTATTTATAGTGGTCATACACTTCGCTATACAAGCACTAAGCTAATAGCTAGTTTACAGGCATGCTACTGAAAACAAGGAAACTAATATTTCAAATGAACATAACATAGTTAAAAATCCCAACTGGCAGGAGGCAGACCAGTGTTGGCTATTTACAAAGCGTGATCAAGGATTTGAACTCGGGACTACGGAGAAAGAAATCCCGCTACTGGCAGGGTGGAGGCCTTGAAACCAGGACCTCTGAATTACAACACCAGCGCCCTAAACCACTTGGCCACGCTAATATTTTTATTATTTCCTTTGTTATTATCACTGTTAATTCTGAATTGAGTAAATAACTAGATAGATAAATAAATATGGTTGAACCTCTGCTAACGGACACTCCCCGTAAACAGACAGTGGTTCCAGCCACATACAAACACTGCATTTTTAAAACCTCCCATGCACAGACACCTATCTTTAGCAGGCATTTTATCTGGTCCCAAGGGTGTCCTTATAGAGGTTCCACTGTAATTGATTCAGGGATGTATGGGTTTAGGCATCCCTTAAAGTAAACAGTGACCATAGTTCAGCTGGTGAATGAAATTTAAAAACTTGTACTTTTATCCAGTTCTTTTTATCCAAAACTTTGAGTCCCTTTGTAATCTTCAAGCAGGAGAACTGGGGAGTTTGTGACTGCAGATTGCGGACCACGGGGACCTAGCAAGATTTGATGAGGAGTATTTCAGGGGCAGGTTATTCTGAAGTTTAGCCGAATTCTTGATAGCGGAGCTCCGGCGGCCCGAAGGGCCGCCAAGCGGAGCCCCATACTCATATGGGAAAGAAAAGGAAACCCATGAGTTGATTTTCTCATGGTT